ATATCACTGATTTAGTTTATAAACAATTTTTTTATTAAATGATCTAAAAATAAAAAAAAATTTATATAATTTAGTAAACTTAGTTTGTTGAACTTTGTACTTTACTGTAAAATAAAATTATTAAATTGTTAGAATATATCAAGAAATTTTAAGTTGAAATTGTTGACTGTTAAATATTAATTAATCATGAGGGATCTAGAAAAAAAACTGATATAACATTTTTATTGACTTTTTTAAATTTGAAGAATATTTGAATACAGTAGGATTAGGTAAAAAAAGATGAAATGGTGGCTGTTTATAAAGTAAATAAGAGATAGTTTAGAAGAAGTATTCAAAATACTAGCAGAAGCAAAGAATTTGATTTAAATTAAGCAATCAAACATTTGATAATTTAAGAGAGGACTTAAAATAGATAAAAGTTTATTAATAAATATATTTTGGTCAAGTAAAGGTTAATTGGCGAAAAGAATTGAGTCAAGTGAAAATAAAAGATTTGTAAGATAATTAACTCAAATGATGCTCAATTAAAACTGTAAACTAATCATTCACAAGATTTTCATAATATACTGGATGTATATTTAAATTGTCTTTTCTATAAACAAGGTCTAAAACTTAATCTTAACTCAAGGAATTCAAAACCAAAAAGTGATTTAAATCTAATTCAATTTTTTTTAATGATAGTATTATAAAATATTATTAATTACTTAAATTTAAAATAGGAAATATTTATGATAAATCAAGTACAACTTTATGAATATAATGTCGAGAAACAATCTTTTTTTATGATAAATCAAATAAAAAAGTGTCAAAAGAATGATATTCGTTAGTATTACATCTTGTTCGAGTTCTAAATTTTATAATATTCTAATTAATGAGCCATCAAGGAATTATTAACATTATAGTAATTTTAATTATAAATGATTTAAAATGATAATATGAAGTCATCTCCCTCTTTATTAAAATAATTATTTCATACTTTTTCAGTGGGTTAAAAGTCAATAGCTTTATAAACCTAGTCTATAAGTTATGATTGATTTTTCTTTACAAAAAAATAAACATGATATCTTATTTTGAAATTATATTGTTTAAGGAAAATAATCAAAAAATTAAATTCTTATTGTCAATTTCAAAAATTTCTCATTAGAATTCATAATGATATTTATGCAGTGGGTCCAAGTATTTATTCTAATTTTAGGAAATGATTACTATCATCCTTGATATACATATTTGAACACACTATCCTTAAATATTTAATTGATATCTGATGATCCTAAGTTTTATAATAAATTTGATATGATTCTATATATGTAGAAAACAATATAGTTTTCAAATTTAAAAGACTACAAATGCTCATTAAAAATCTTAATTATAAAAATAATCAAATTTACCAATAAACAACATAAAAACTATTAATGGCAACCTAAATTATCAATTTATATCTCCTCAAAAATTGAAAAAATTAGTTAATCTAGTGATAGAGTTTTATAAAGCGCAAATACCTTAGAATTTTTTAGCTTTCTACAAGATGAATAGTTACTTGATTCAAATTATTTACTTTATATATCATTAAGAAGCAAATACTGAAGAAGCTGAGGGTCTCATCATGTAAATAAAAGTAATTCTACTTTTAGACATCTATGTATGACTGTTAAATAAAATAATATGTATTACTGAGTTTATGTTGGGGTATTAGATTGTATCTACTACGACAATATAATTTAAATTCGGACAGATTTTTGAAAAATATTTCAAAATAATTAAAAATGAATAATAATTTAAACAATTAAATTCACAAGAGATTGCCTATTGATCTAATTATATTTTAGTATTGTAGTAGGTAAAATTAAAAAATCATTTTTATATTAATTAAACTAAGATGTATATTATATAATATAAAGGCTAATTTAATTGTTATGGAAAACTAAATTGAAATTTTCATTCTTATTATAAATAATTAAATGTTCATTTATTTCCCACTACTGTGAAGATGTTTTGAACTTACATTATTATTGGTGGATTTGATTTTATAATTATATTTCTTGATCTTTTGGTAAAATTAGACACAGCTTCTAAATAAAGGGCCCATTCAACCTAAGATTAGAAAACAAATCTAACAAAATGCCAATTAAATTTTAGCATCGTTATCTAATAAATTTTAAAAATCAGAACAATAAAATAGGCTTAGTTATATAAATATCATTACAGGAGAATTCATCATATGTATTAAAAAATGATCTAAGCTTGATGATTAAAATCTTATAAATGTAATAAATAATGAATAGGCAAATACTATTACAGTGAGTAAAAGGCATTGATATAAAGAATTTTATTACATTCCTAATAAAACAATAAGGAATAACAATTTTTTGAATAGAACAACATCTTCATATTACTCATTCCTTAGTTCAGATATACATATAAAATTGGAAACTAATTAAGAATTTGAAACTGTATATATAATAACTTTAAAAAGCAAGTTCCAATTGTTAGCATAAAATAATTGTAGCAATCCTTATTTTGTGTAAAGATTTCTTAACTGTATCAAATTTTTATTTAATTTATAGAATTTTATGGCTATTGATTCAAAAAGTGATGATTTAGTTAATCTAACATAATAAATTTGTTTGATTGAAAAAAAATAATTAAAGAAGAATTTCCTATAAACAATAAGTAATATGAATAGTACAAAAAATAAGATTATTTAAGTAATGAATCCATAGATATTAGTTAATAAGTCTGCATTAAGTTCATATTCTTATAATTTTCCTATGCTGTCCAAATGTTCGTATCCAATTAAATTATTAAAAAAGTCAAATATGTTCAATAAAGGAATAGAAATTATTAGATTATAAAAAATCAGAAGATTCAAAATAGATATAAATATTTTAGAGGAATTCCAAATTTTTATTTGATTTTTTTAAAATAATAGATTCAATGATTTTTTTACTATATAAATCGTAAATAAGATTAAAATTAGAGTGTGTCAAAAATCTCTAGGCTTGATTAGATTTCCCCTAATAGTAACATCAAAGCACTTTTAAATCCTAACCCAATGATTATATAATTTCCTATAGTTTAAAATTTGTTTGCATCCTCTATTTGTGAATTAGATAATATTGTGGTTGTTTTTAGTTTTAATTCTTATGAGGCGAAAGATAAATTAGAATTATGCTCATCTTATACACCGTCCTAAATAGTGGCAACTAAAATTAGTGGTGTAGATTTAGAACTTAAAAATTAGATTTCAAATTAATAAACTGGATCATTAGGTATTTCTTTATCAATCTCAATTACAGAAGTAATAAATATTTTATTTTCTACCCCTTTTATTTTAGTTGAGATTGCTTGAGTGAAATTTGTGAAAGCTCCTATCCATTTAACCTTTTAAATATACATATTATTTATGAAATGTTTTGTTGAGGTATGTAAGTAATATTTAAGTAATACAATAGCATTTATTTGGTATTTATTCATTACATTACCAATTATCTTAATTATCTTCAATTGAGCACATTTATGAACATCCATCATAATTATCGTCATTTCGATTATCACACTCTTCATTTTATTGCCTTATTGTATCTCCACATTTAAATTATTATTCTGATTATAATTTTTCTTCATCTTCTTCTTATCCTTATTAGCTAAACATTTTTTATTACCATTTTTGCATACCCTTTCTAACATTCAATACAATTTCCCTCAATACATTAATCACAATTTTCATCACATTAAAACTAACATTAATAACATCCATCAAATGGTGTCTAATTTTTATCCTCACATTCCTCTAAACCTGGAACCACAAACAGGTATACATTTACCATTTATCTATTCAAAATAATCTCGACATGCAAAAGTCCTTAGTAGTACATGATAAGCAATTATAATCGCATTCAAATCTGCATTCATAACATCCATCATTAGGCTCATAGTTACCATCATCACATTTTTCAGGGATAGTTAAGCAACTTGATTATCTCCACACATATAAAAGCATCTATAATCCAAAAGTTTCCAACCATCTTGACATCCATAACACTTAGCTTGTATACATGTTTAGCATTCTAGCTAACAACTTTCTTAACATTTATAACAACCATCAATTGAATGTTATTTATATCATCACAAATCTCATCCAATATTGTGATCCCATCATTACAATAAGGTATGCATTATTAGTTATTCAAACTCAAACTCAATTGAAAAAATAGTTAACATTTCAAATATTAACCCAATAATTGTTAATCGCAGTATTAAATCCTAATGCTGTTTTACTTATTGAATCCAAATATCCCAAGCTCTTTAATGTTGCAATACTAATTTAATATCATAGTTTATCTAGATTATCTTTAACTCAAAAAGTTATCATAATAACTTTAATCAATATAATTGATAAAATAGGGATCAAAGATACAATCACTTTAAATCTATCTTGTTGATTGCTAATATTCTAAACATTAACCAAATAAGCAATTTAAACAATCTTAACTACATTAAAATTTACAAAGATCACATTCATCATAAGGAATTAAATTCCCATCATCAAATTCTTCATGTTAATTTATCATTAAGTCCCAACATAAAGGAACACAATTTTATATTAATTATATATATTCCCATCCATCTTAACATTCAAAACAGATTCCCTATATACAATTTCTACATCCTTCAACACAACTAACCTGTAAAGCAAAACATCCTTCAAATTGATTAATATTTTAATCTTAGCACATATCTAATTCAAGCTTAATAAATAATTAAAAGTCTCTTATCCCAAACCACCTATTGCTAGTATTAATAATTTGACAAATCAACTTTTATTTTCACTGTTAAATCACTTATTCAATGATATGATATTTTCTAAAAAAAATTTTCTTAGATTTTATAGCCAAATTAAAATTAAATAGACCTAAGGTTAACAAAAATAGATTGGTTTTCACTGGAAACTATGTAAAGAAAGCAAAATGATTATCTTTATTTCAATTTAAACTAAGAATTTATGAACAAAAAATCTACACTCTGAAAACAAATGAAAAGGTTATCGAAATAATTTAGATTACCATATCTCTTGATTTAAATATAATTAGTTATTCATAAAGATAGATTAAAGTAATTTCCTATATTCTATATTTTATTTAGGTTATTACTTTTATATGATTTTGATTTAATAACAATGGAAATTCTTCAATATATATTATTAAGTTTCACCACTAGATCTTTTTAAAAAATGTTTGATAATTACAACTATCTAGTGTTATCACTCATTTAATTTGAGAATTATATTTTTTATTTATTTTAAGCATTTTTTCTGATTCATTTGTTCCAACATAGCCTATTTTTTTCATTATTTATTTTTTAGATTTGTTTTCTATTTAAATTATTTTAGATCATTTAAGTAAATACTTTGATATATCTAAGTTTAGAATTTAAATGAAAGTCTTACTGAATACTAAAAACTTAGAAAAAATTAAAAGTGGATTTTTTTATTAATATTTAATTAGAAATTCAATTAGAGCTATAATAAATCAATTTTAATATTAATACTTCTTTAAATCAATATAGATCTTTTAAATTAGAAATTAATATATAAAAAAATGATTTTAATAATCACTTGGTTTTTTTTAACTAGTTAAGCATTTGAGATCATAAAATTGAATGAAAAGAATTAGATTTTAAGGAATATTATATAAATTAATGATGAAAGCTATTCATTATAAAGTTATTTCACATATGGTATTTGGTCGAAATATAACCCATTAAGTATTATTGAGTAGAATGGTCTTTATGGATTATTAGATAGTAATTTATATTAACTTCACAATGCTATAGATTTTGAATAGTAAAGCTTGAATTTAATATATTACGATTTTATAGATTATAAATAGGAATTTATAACTAAGACAATTTAATTTATTAGCAATAACAATATAGAGTATAAATATGGGATAAATATTGAGAAGTTTGAATATGAAAATGTTTGGTATTTTTTATAAATTTATGAATCACCTAAACTTAATAAATTAGAATTATTAATAGCTAAAAATGATGAGATAATATTAAGAAAGTAATTATAGATTGAATACCCCTTTTCTGATGATAAAATGATTTTAACTTTTGGGGGTAGTTCTAAGGTAGTGAATTCTAAGATATAAGAGATAGGGATAGGAACTATATTTTCATCATTTCCTGGTCAAATAATAGTATAATAATTTTCAATTGAATAAATATCACATAATTATGATTTAAGTATATTTATAACTGAAACATTTTAAAGTATTAATAATTGTAATTGCTAAATGAGTGAAGATTCATTTAAATTTATAAATGAGGATTTAAAGTATTTAGATAAGAATTCATATATCTCTGAATATATAAATTGCGATTCTTTCAATTTAATAGGTTGGTTTAAAATAATTGAAATAGTATCAATAAGTTAAGAATTCACATATTAAATTATTAAATTAAGTCCCAACCTTAATAATTCAATTTATTAAAATCCGAATTTGGCAGCCTTTTAATTATTTTATGGAATTTCTAGAAATTATAATAAAATTATTATTACAACTTATAGTTACAATTTTCCTGCTATTAATATTGACTATTCAAATAATCCATTTTTGATTTAAAAAGAATTTATAATAGATTAAAATTTTGTTAATTAATGGCATTAATTAAAACTAAATTTAATTTTAAATATTTTTTAGTTTTAAATAATAATATTTTAAGATGGAAATAATATTGAGATTGTTGATAAAATTGAAGTAATTTAATTTAATAATGTATAATATAAATTATAATATGGATAATATGGAATAAAAGAATTAGAACTATTTAAATTTACAAATAAGAAATTTGATGTTTAATAATTGTGAAAAAACTATTAATAAATAAGGTTGTCATTTTAGTTGTAAGGAATGTGATGGACCATCTAGTTCTAATTGTTTATCTTGTTATGCTTAATCCTAAAGAGTGTTTTTATAAAAATATAAAGTTTGTATTTGTCCTTACAATACAATAGATAGAAATGAGAAATGTATAACAGAAGATGATTAAAAAATTAGAATTATTTAATAAAATAGTTCTAATTAAATTAAAAATTGTTTATAAGGTTATTTTGAATTTGATTAAGAATGTTATAAGTGGTAAATTATATGTTAAATAATATTAGTCCTTCAATAATTAATTAAGATATTATAAGCTGTTTTGAATGTTATAACAATCCAAAAGGATGGAGTTCTAGTCCAAATTGTAATACTGATATATATTTAACAACAACAATATAGAATATAGAAGATACTATGCATGAATTCTAAAGTATTTATTTTTATTTAGATGGAATTGATTTAAATTTTTGTTCTTCTTGTAGAATTATAAATAAAATTGATGATGAATAAGGGAATTATGAGTTGTCTTAATAATTATTTTTTGGATTTTTAAATTTCTGTTAGATTGAAGAATATAGTATAATTTATAATGAATGTTATATTTGTCCAATTAATTATTGTTAGAATTGTTAAATTACATTATTAGGTTTATAATGTATAAGATGTTTTGATGATTATGAATTTCTAGATGGCATATGCATTTAGAAAATTTTTATTAATCCTTATCCGAAGAATTAAAATATTGATGAATGTTTACCTCCATATTATATTTCTTCATAATAATAATGTTTATTATGCTCAATATAGAATTGTGAATATTGTTTTGAATATTTAAAATAATTTCCTACTGAAAATTCATTTAAACCTAATTTATTATTTAATTTCTAAGAAGATTTAAAAGTAGCTTGTGCTCTTTGTAAGGAAAATTATATTTTTGATTTTACATTAGAAAAATGTTTATGGTAAAATCCTTAAATACCTAATTGTTTAAGATCATTTATAGATCAAAATAGTAAAGAAATATGTACATTATCATTAATAGATTTTTCTATATCACCAGAAATAAGTGATTGTTTATTTTATATTTCTAATTGTCAATAATGTTTAAAATATCATTCAAAAATTATTTGTGTCATATGTTAAACAGGATATGTTGTTTAATCAGAATAATGTGTTTAAAATTAAGAATTAATTTAAGTATCTTATTAAATGTAAAGATGGAGAATGAGAGTTGAAAGTTTTAGATTATAATTTGCTCCAATAGATTAAGATTTTAATAATGAAATTGTAAT